TTATATAATTTTTATTTGTCAAATATAGAATTTTAGGTTATTCAGAAAGAATTGTTTTTATGAACTTTATAGACACTGCTTCATTATATTTCACTTTTTTATTCTAATACTGAGGGGTTTTTTTCCTAATACTATTTTTTTATTATTATACTAGTTTATTTACAAAATTGGAATACATTGGTTTTTCAACCAAGATTCTTCCAATTTCTCTCACCCCTCCCATCAAATTGTACAACCTCATGGTTAATCCCACCACCACCACCCTGCACATCCTCATCCCTCTACTTCCACCCTCAACCCACTTGTATCCTTATACTCATTCTACAACAATGGTTTTATACAATATTTGTCCTTATGGAACTGAGTTAGTTCACTCAGCATAATGCTCTCCAGTCTCTCCCAAGTTAAGTAATACTTAACAAAATCATTGTTCCTGTGTGCTTTGTAGTTCCATTGCATAAACGTACCATAATTTCCAAATCTATTAAATTGTGGCTGGACATCTGGGCTGTTTCCATGTTCTTGCAAATACTGCTTTTGAGAAGTCCTAATTCCATTCTGATTTCTAAATATGTTTTTATGGCCTCCTTTTTACCCTGAAAACTTCTGCTATTTTTTTTTTAATTCCAGCCTTTGTAGGCTTTTTTTTTTTACTTGCTTTAGATCTTTTTTAAAAATTTCTTTTATATTAGTTTGCTTACAAAGTTCGTCTACATTGTGGGTTTTTTTTCTGCCACCCGTGGTCATATTGGTACATTGTATTTTTTTTTAAATTATTTTCTTGTTGTGTACCATCTAATTGGATCTGACTGGCACAGGAGGAGATTGCCCCTCCTTCTCGAGCAGAGCATCTGGTAGATTCAAACCAAATGCCATTGATTGCAGCTCAACTTCTTGCCACTAGGCCACTAGAGCTACATTATGTATTGTCTTTTGCACTATTCTTCATTCACATTGTATTTCATACAGTCATTCCCTTGCAACATGTTTTCTAAAATTAATCACCATTAAACCATGAACATCATTACTCTGTCATTTTAGGTCCCACTGGATACTTCCCATTTTGTTCCCTGCCCCACCCCCACCCCACTCCACCCACCAAATCTTGCATCCCTGTGGTTTCGCCCCTCCCTCCTCATCCCTCTGTTTCCACCACTTCCTCCCTTGAGTCTCTCTACATATTTTACTAGTTGTCTTTCTATTTTTACAATGGTCTTATGCAGTATTGTCCTTATGAGACTGAGTTCGTTCACTCAGTATAATGCTTTCCAGTCTCTCCCAAATTATGTAGTGTTTTTCAAAATCATTGCTGTATAATATTCCATTGGTGAATGTACCACAATTTCTCAATCCATTCCATTGTGGTTTGACATTTGGGCTATTTCCATGTTCTTGTGATGATGAGTAATGCTGCTATGAACATTGGTGTCTAGATACTTGTTTGTGTGCCAGTTCTAATTTCTTTGTGGTATTTTCCTAGTAGTGGAATAACTGGGTTATACAGAGCTTCTATGTTCAGCTTTTTGATGAAATGTCAAAATGCCATCTGGAGTGGTTATACCATTTTACACTTGCACCAACAGTGTATGAGAGTTCTCACCTCTCCACATCCTTTCCAATGTTTATTGCTTGCTGCCCTGCTAAACTTTGCTACTGCTACTGGAGTGAGATGGTATCTGATTGAGGTTTTGATTTGCTTCTCTCTTATTGCCAGTGATTTGGAGCATTTCTTCCTGTGTCTGTTGGCCTTCTGAATGTCTTCCTCTGTGAAGTCTTCCTATTTCTTTTGCCCATTTTGGGTTTTTTTTTCCTGTTTGTTTGTTTTAAATTTTATTTTATTAATTTTAATGAACATTTACAGAGATTTTGGATTTCCATTCCTTTATTGTTGCATTTTTCTCCCTGCCCACCCTCCCCACCAGTTCACTC